AAAGTAGCCAAATTAGTTACTCGTTATCGAGAAAAGTAATTCCGTAGAAGTAACTCGTTACTAGTAACGCGTTACGTACATGGCTTCATTTTTAATACTTTGTTAGCAAAATCCTTTCAAAGAAACATCCGCTGCCACACTGGTACTCTCAGAAGGTTGCTTCCATCAAAGTAATAAGAAAATGGAAAATAATAAGTTTTTAAAATAGAACTTAATGGAAGTAGCTAAGAAATTAATTGTTCTTTGTAATTATTTCTTCCTCAATAGCGGTACAACTTTTGGAGCCCTAATCACAGAGCACTGCCACCAGCCACTTCAACCGCAGTGCCAGTCATGTACGAGCTCTCGGGCGAGCAGAGAAAGACGACCACGTCAGCGACCTCAGACGGCTGGGCGAGGCGACCAAGTGGAACCCGGGACGAAATTCCTTGCTTCTGGTCTTCTGTCAAGAACCTTTGATCTGAAGTCTTGGTCAATCCCGGAAGCACAGCGTTGCACCGAATTCCTTTGTCTGCAAGATCCAATGCTGCTGTTTTGGTAAGGCCAATAATAGCGGCCTTGGAGGCTGCATAGCTGCAAAGTCCTTTCCAGCCCGTTTTCGCGACAAGACTGGAGACGTTGACCACGACTCCTTCAGTTACCCCTCCCGCCAGCATGTCTTGAACAGCAGCTTTGGTCATCAGGAAGGTTCCCTGGTAGATATGAGAACCACTTAGAGAACAGTGTACTCCATGCCGACTTCAGCGCATAGCAGCGACATCGCTGCCCTTACCGTATTTCAATATTCGATACCTCCCTGGATCTGGTAGTTTACCATACGCTCGAGGAGCTTAAGTTCACACGTGGATATTAAGAACGCGCATCAATAACCTCGGACATATTTAGTGCATTCAAAAACGCGTCTAGGATAAACCCAAAGTAACTCCTCATTTGATTTTGTTTAGAACTCTAAATTTCGTTCCGGCCCAAAAATAATTTCAGTACTTTTGCAAAACGTTTAATATGAACCGTTCCAGGAACTGAAAAAAGGCACGTATTGCTTTAAAACATGTCTTATCTTTAATTTCTTGTGGGGACCTTGACTGCTCACTAAAGCGAGCATCTAAGGAAAGGTTTAACTATTCAGATTTCGAGATAAATCTGACTCAGAATGTAGAAAGCATGTTAGCAATGGGTACCGTTCCACCCAAAAGTATCGAGTATGCATTCTGTGGCAAAACTTTTTTTTCCCTTTTTTCCAACAAATTACATTTTGTTCTGTTTTTCTCTTTGTATCGTTTTAAATACTAATATACGATTCCGGAAGATTCAATGACATCAGCGGTCGAAAGAAAAATAAGGCTATACTGTAACATCTGAGGGAAGGCATATATGCTTAAAAACAAGATAATTTTAGCGTTTCGTTTTTTTTCCAACCCATGTTTTTCATGATAAAATTGTCTACTTCACAATTTGCGAAAACAACAACAGGTCCTGAAAAAAATGGAACGTCCCAACAGCCAGACGAACGAAGAATCCTCAAATAGCCCACTCCAACTCTGAATTATATACATGTCGACGCAGTTTCTCTTGCCATTCTAAAAGAAATTCAGCACGTTGCGCGTTAGCATCACTCGCACACGAGCAAGCTCTCTTAATGCAGTTGGGGGAAAACAAACGTTGCCCTTTTAGAGTTATGACCTCACGTTTTTAATATTCATTACAATTTCCTAGGTATTCAAACGTTTAAGCTTACTTTGAGGTTGACGCTGATGACTCGATCAAAGGTATCTTCGCTCGTATCGACAATCGAGGCGCTGAGGGCAAATGTGCCGGCACAGTTCACAAGAATGCTGGCAGGACTACTGTAGACCTCCTTAATTGACGCAAAGAGCGTCTGCACTGATGATGATTCAGAGATATCAACTTGCATCGCAACGTGCTTCCCACTATCGCTCGCAACTGGAAATAGACGTTAATTAATTTTCGAAACAAAGCATGATTCAATCAACTTCAACACAACTTATTTTATAAACCGTTATGTTACTAAGTACCCTTACCATTATAGGTAAACCATCATAATTACTGCTGCCTGAATTGTTTCTGGCTAGAATTTTTCACCTCGTTCTGTTTGCGACATACCCGTGGCATCATCTGTTGCTCCTAAACTATAATACTGAAAAATTAAAAAAAAATATCAATACAAAACTAAAGACGACACTATAGCTTTCATGATATTATTATGCAACTCCTGCCTTTCAAACCCCTTTCATTGAAAATTTCTGAAACTCGGATCACTCTCCAAATTAACTGCCACTGTGCATCGTTCTAGGCATTATTTGAAGAGATTCTAAGTATTAAAAATATATATTATTCGCAATACTAGAAATAATATAAACAAAATGTTCGATAGTTTGTCAGACCTTCGCTCTTCGTTTAGGTTCCTTTCTTTCTTTAAGCAAAACGTCTGTAACTTCATTTCCACCGTTTCCAAGCATACCACAAACAAGACGAATAGAGGCACAAACCTGGAAGAGCATTACAGACTTCCTCAGCCGTATCCAAGTTGATATCAGCGACGATCATTTGAGCATCCTTCTCAGCTAAGGCATTCCAAATTGCCTTGCCGATCACTCCTCCGCCTCCGGTCACAACGGCCAAGCGTCCGCGCAGCGGACCGCCATGGGACTTCGTAGTCATTCTTTGAGATGTTTTCAAATTCAAACTCTGCTCTGATATCCTCCGTTAAAAACCGCTGGAAGGTTTTGCCACCCAGCAAAGCTTCTATATCAAACAATGATAGGTTTAACAACCGACAATGGGCGTCAACGTTGTTGCTTAAAGTGGTGCTGTGTGCAAAAAACCGCGACAGCTTTCAACGAGCCGAGCGAAAATGCCGTGCTTCGAGTATACATCTATACCAGCTGCGCCAGTATATTCTCCGTTTCACTTAACGATGAAGCGCAGCGGAAGCTACGGGTCAGTTGAGCCAATCCAACGCTTTGGACGCAGCATGTGACTGCCCCGTTCGCTTATGTCATGTGATGCTCAGAGGGCATTTAGTTGCTTCACGTAACGTGTAACGGGCTTCATGATCCATCGTAAGATGAGACAGTGTATATACATTCGGTGTACACCACCTGACTCGATTTACGAGCGCTGCCTGTTTTTGAGCACATGACGAGAGTGCACCGCTCTCGGCTTGGGTGCATCGCGAAAGAGAGTAACTGAAAAAAACAAAACAGAGTAATGGAAAGACATCTGTGCTGTGGCTTGGTATGGCTGCTATTTCACGGTGGTAAACCCCATGATACGCCAATTCACTTCGATAGTTCAGACGCGCATATGAGATCTTTATACAGATATGTCCATCCGCCTATAGTAAAAAGAAGTTTATTGTTTTGGTTGGGGCAGATTCCCATAGTCACACGTAAGCATGTAGTCAAACATGAAAAACGCAAGTTATAGACGAGTTGCTAGTTGCAATCAGAAGAAACAGACCAGTATAAGCCAACTTCAAAGTTAAGTTAAGTGATGGTCAAGCATATAAAAAAACAATAATATATCAGGAAGGAAAATAGAAATAAAAAATGGTGCCGAAATCGCTGCTGTCGCTACGCTGATATCCGAAGCAATGCGTTAGCACTTAGCGCAGGAATTCCAACTCAGAGAAGGATACAAATTCCAGCCTCGAAACGGTCCGCATACTGTTGTCTTCTGAGAGCCAGTCTGCTCTCCTGGGTATCGGCTGTTTCGGATGCCGCCACCACAGCCTACAGTCTGCATACGTTTGTCTTCGAAGAGCCAATCTTTCCTCCCAGGTGTGGGCGATTTCGTGCAAACTCCGTTGTCGCTGCGCCTTGGTTTTAGGATGTCACGCACGTCGTGCCACCGCCACGGCAGCGCGATCAACTTCTTTCCCGCTTCCTGCGTCGCGTCATTGGAAGCGTCCCTCTTGAAAAAACGTAAAGTGGACGTAACGAGCGAACGAACGGAGCCAAGGAGCACGGCGGGAGCCGCGCCACGGCCTCAGGAAACCAGTCCAGCCCAGTCCGAACCACGACAGTCCAAACGAAAGACGACTGCATGCACCAGGTCAATAATTGCTTACGCATTAAAAAAAATAGCGCATGAAACAACCTTACCGCTAGTTACAACACAGTTGGCTTCACGCAGATTGAACTTGGTGCATCGCATGAATGCCAGGCAAACGTCGCAAAACCCACGATCTCGAGTTGTATCTTTATTTTTGTTTTACAGCGACAGCGGTTAGTGCCTCTTTCAGGCGAAATACGGCGGGTCCTTGCGCAAAAACTAATTATAGTCCGATGAAAGAGCGATGGCGCCTATCAGATTCTACCCATCACCGTCGCCTTTCGCACCGCCTCGTCATCTATGTGAATATGTGGAGTCGGGCTATTGGGCTGTTGCTTCCTTTTGCTCGTGCCCTCCCCCCTCCACGCCACCGCCGCTTCGGGGTTATTCTAAAGTTCTCCGGCGCGACTACACGGCGCTCGCTGAGTTCTCCGTCGAACATCCCCCCCCCCCCCCCCCACACACAGACAAACATACCTAACACCTAGAGTCTAAACGAATGACGAGCGTGCCGTGCTGAGCAGAGTGGAAAGAGGAACGTAGAGGCGTGAGAACAGCAAAGGGCACAGGACCCCAAATATCACGCGCGGAAAGCAGCGGGTCACAATGTCCTCTAAAGCACATATCACACAACTATTTTTCTAAAAAAAAAGCCCTAGAGCAAACATCCTAAAGAACAAGGACTAAAAGCAAATCCCTAAAGCCCATCTTTCATAGAGGGGTAAAATAAACAACCTCATTACATGCGATCGGCTTGTCTGACAACTGGTAGCCGTTGCTTGAATACTATTACTTCCCTTATAGCCGTAATCTCAGCCTGCACGGAAAACCGGTCCAGGCAATCCTCTCCCTCTTCCAATAATCTCCCTTTCTATCGGCCCTCTTATCGGTCGCTTAGCGCTCAAGTTGCTAGCGATAGAACCGGCAGGTTGACAGAGCTCTTCAGTGGTTCGGAGGACACACATCACGGAACCCATCAAATCGCCTACCTAAAGGAAATGTCGACGATGTCCCAGGAACGTTCCATGTGCGGACGCTTGGCTGTGGTCACCGGAGGCGGAGGAGGCATCGGCAAGGCGATATGCGATGTCTTAGCCGAGAAAGGTGTGCAACTGGTCGTCGCTGACATCGATTTGGCAGCCGCTGAAGCCGTGGCCAATGCTCTTCCAGGTTTGTGCTTCTAGTTGTCTGGCTTGGCAGAAAACTATAGCTTTCTTTGGAAATGAAATGACTACATCCATCTTTAAATAAAAAAAAAGGATGATAGAGCCGACATTTTCGTGATGCTCTGATACGCTATAATACGTTGTTGTTGTTGTTCTTGTTGCTGTTGTAATTCTTGTTCTTGTTTTCGCTGTAACTTTCCGGTACATTATTGGTTCAGCGATGATAAAACACGCGGCATGATTGTTCCCCTAAAATTTCAGTGTCGGCTGCATCCGGACTTATTCTGTTGTTGACTTTCTTCAAACCTAAGATTCTTAAAGCCAGCCAAAAATTAATACCAACGTTTTACTAACACTTTTCTAGGCGCTAAAAAAAAGCAACTGTGCTAGTGCAAAATGTACACCGCGCGACACTTGTCATGGAAACAAACATCTTTTTTTATCAGTTTTTAATGATAGGTTGTTATAAATCTTACAAATGCAATGGGAGTTGTCGCTTGGTAAGCTAACGTAAGTAATAAACTTTTGTGGTCAGCAATAACCTTTCGAAGTAGAATACGACAATGTGAAATGACCAGTTTGCGCTAACATTGTCGCGCAGTGAACGCACTGTGGCCACCGTGAAAATTTTACTCACAAATCCCCATTAAACTTCACCGTAACGTCAATAGACGTTGACTAGTTCGTCTACTCTTCTCTGTTTTCATGCGTGTGAGACAATGCAAATGATAGCTCACGTGCTCAGGTAAAGTGAAGTGAAGCTTCGCCTCTATTAACACCTGTCTTGCGCTCTTCTAAGTAGTCTTCCGGCTGAATATGTAAATGTTTCCGCGACTGTCGACTGACGTTACGTTTAGCTCAGCAATGATATGCTAGGAAAGATTCCTTCTGTATACATGAATATTAAAGCAGTGTAACCAAGGCGTTTTTTTTTCGCCGATCTATGTCATTTTATACTCGATTGCCGGCTCACGTTAAACATGATCAAGCGACTACGTATGTGCAAAGACAGCTTGAAATGCGAATATCAAGGCAGTGTAACCAAGGCAAAAATTAGTAAGTTAAATTAAGTCACGTTGTATCATCATCAGCCCTCCACTCAGCCAAGATGTTTCCAACAAAAAAAGTCATGAACTCTCGGTTCCTCTCGTATAAAAAAAAAACCAGGACATCCAATACTTTACCACTGAATGCGTGCGCGTTAGTCATCCGGCGGGGCGCAGCTACCTCGTCTCCGTGAGCATTTTTTTTCGCAAGTAAAGGCATTTAGAACACTCAGCAACAGCTTCTATAGAAGGGGGTCACAGTGTATAAAGAGGCCAGTGCATGCACACAGCCTTCAGGTGTGCTTCTTTTCTGTTTACAAGCTATCGTGACATTTAAGTGGTACAAAGATCTGCATAATCGCGCGACTGAGAAATGCAAAAAAAAAAACATTTCGCCTCCATGTATTTATACAAAATTAGTATAGAGTGGTTATAAACGTGTGTAATGCTATGTACAGACCTGCGGATTCGCAGCAAGATCGCGCGAATTTCGAAACTGGGAGTCAGAAGCCGCCGGAAAATCTAGCGGAGAGCATAACCGGTACGGAAGAGGTTTCTTCTTTTTTTGGATGAAGTATTCCGCTTATTGCGGCAAATAAATCAAAATGCACGAAGGAAGTGGCGCTTGCTGACGTCACATGTTGCCCAAGTCGGATACGTTTCCAAGTTGCAAATGGCGCCGTCTCGCTGGTTTCCCTATCAGAGATGCCCGTCGAGACTGAAATATTAACCGATAGATCCTCAGTGACAAGGAACAAATATGCTACAAGTGACCGCAAGGAAGATCTGTCGAATAAAATTGGCACAGGATTAGGTGTCAGCGGTGCATACACGCGTTGCCTTTTTTTTCCCTTTTATTTGTCTGCATTTCATTCGGTTATTGCGTCCTCGTATGTTCGAGAGAACAACCGGTAGTATTTGGACGCTGCATATTGTTACCTATTTAATGTGTTGACTGATATTACTGGAGAGCAGCCTACAGAAGTTATACAAAATTGCACGCTGAACGATTTATGGAAAACGCGCTAACGCAGGAGGAACCTGAAAGGCTTTCAGATGGCGAAAAGGCTGAGACAGCGCACACTACCGTGCTATAGAGGCCTCTCCGATAGCACATACATGGCGCATATATAGATTTTATTGCGTTAATGATAAAAAAAGGTTTTTATTATACTAAAAACGTCGAGAGAAGCATATTTTGAGACAGGCATAAAATACACCGAGGTAACTGAAATAAAGCCAAGTCAGGAGCTTAGGCAGCCAGCAGGAATTTTCGCGATTTTCTTGGCCTGTTGAGGGCCAAGAAAAGATACACATTTGGTTGAAATGGCTTACGAAGTGGTTGGTTTTAAAATTGTTGTCATCAGCTCGTATTAAGTTCGTGCTTTGTTACATTGAACTGCACATGTGTTTTCAGGTGCACGCGGTGGCCATAAGCACGTTGCAATGCACGTGGATATATCCAACTCGGCATCAGTACAAACCCTCTTCACGGCCATCAAGGATGTCTACGGAGCACCTGCCAGCATTCTTGTGAACTGCGCAGGCACTGGCGCCCTCTTCACATCAATTGTTGATACAACTGAAGATGTTTTTGATCGAGTCATTAATGTCAACCTGAAGGTAAGCTAGAACACAAGAAAGTTGAGTAATCCTGCATCCAACTTATTAAGTATAAAATAGCAATGATCGCTTTTCATTTATTGTCTACTCTATAAGGATACATTATACTCACACAAAAACGTTAACGCCATGAACAAGTTTTTCTTTTTTTTAAGGTGAGTATATCTCTTCTTTTTTACGAATTTTGAATTTACAGGTTTAGTGAGTTAATTTTTTCTAAAGTTCTACGGACATATGTATGCTATTTTTTTAGTTTGTGTTTATCTTTTACGTTTTTGCAGAAACAATGCTTCTTGTCCTTCTCATCCAAGTTACTGTGCCTTCTTTTGACCGCTCATGCGGACGAAAGGAACATTGATTGCTACAAGAGTGTAATTTATAATTACACAATAAATCAGTTATTTTTTTCAAATCTTTTCGAAAGGTAATACGTGGAATGTATGTATTACGTGGAAATCCAACAGTACTCCAAATACGCGTAAGATGAACCTTGAGCTACTTATTATTTAAGCTGAGTCAATATATATTTCCTAATGTTTATTGTGGCCGCGAATTCGCTTGCAAAGAAGTAATTAAAACATTCGTCATTCTTGCCCAGCTTGTTTGCACCTTTGCCTTTACTTGCGTTTTAATCATAACCTTGAATTGCAAGCTTCACCCTTGCTGGTGTTAGACTGGTGGCAGCTGACAAAACCCGTTTGCCCTACTGACGTCTAACCCCTGGTTTGCTCAGTTGGTAGAGCGGAGCTCCACCTGTAATGAAGAGGACCCAAGTTTGATACCCGGACCAGGCGGATTTTTTCAATCGCGCACCAGTCACCAAGCTGTGTCTGGAGATTTTTGTTTGTCCTTTGTCCTTCTTGTTCCCCCTTCTCCAGGGATTATTTCTGTCAACAAAACTTACTTTTTTTAAAATTATTTTTGAAAAAGTAGTAGCCCTATTCGGCACAGGGTCCAGTCTAAATCAAGTGGCTGTTCCTTAAAGTTCTCGGTGTATAAACGAGCGTGAAAATCTTAGAAACAAACAAGCAAAAAGCCGTAAATATTTTTGTTCTAGGATTGTCTCTGCATAGACTGAAAACGTCTGAGCTTTTTGATACACACTTTTAAAATTCGCAAGCGAGCTTTGGTTCCTTGATCGTATAGCATACCACAAGACAAAGAAATGCAGGGCATAGAAGTCTTGGTTTCAGTTAACTTTTTCCGTACCTTAGTATTGGCCATTGATCACATGTGCCGAATGATTTTCGCGAGCCGCTGAAATTCATAATTGGTGGAATAGAACACGGTGCGCCACCTCGTGGAAAACTAACGAAATATATAGTTTTGATTGCGAAGGTCATGTCGGTTTCAATGCATAGTTGTGGCCTAAAGGTCGCAAGCTGCCAGCTGTCAGAAACAAATCTACAACACGGCAGCGACACTTCTCAAACATGGCGCCCTGCACACATAGGTCACGGAAACAATGACGGCATCCATCGCCCGAATCGTATGCCTGTACTGCTTATTTTTGGATAACAGCAGCAGCGAGAACTGTAGATGCTGACGTATCAATTGATTTTGACTTTGATAGTGACGTTTCATTTTACATACCTGGAATATCAAGAGGTACTCGTGAGTGAGAGCGGTTTTACCTTTACAGGTTCTATTGAGCGCAGGCACACGCTTTATTTGGACAGGAAGCCTTACATACTGCGAAAACAGAGAATAAACTATACAATAAGTGCTACGACAAGCCCGAGCTGTGACGCAAAAAAATGCTTCCTTCGGGACACATGGTGTCTAGTACGTGTGTTTCCTCACTATTTGCACTCACTCTTCTGTATGGCACAGGCGCCATGAAAAAGAGATAGAGTGATTAGGCAGGCGAGCTGGTTGATGTTAAAATTTTTTGAAAAAACCGGAGACAACGGACGACGAAAATGGGGACAACACACAAAATGTCTCAATCGAGGTGTTTTGTGTGTTGTCCACTTTTTCATCTTCCGTAGTCTCCGTTTTTTTTAATATAAAAAAAACAGCTTGGTGATAGACCAGAACATGGCGGCGATAGCAAGATTGCTCTAATCTACAGAAACGATGGCCGTGGGTATGGACACACATAGTTTATCCAGAATTTTTGCCACTTATTGTCGGCATTGACCAAATAAAAAATGTGCCAAACGTTCTTTTTTTTTTTTTTAAAGTGGCGTTTTAAATTTAATCTTATTACACTTTTCAAACCCACTCATTTAAGTTTTCTTTTCTTCCAAAAACCGGGAAATTGTTTGCATTTTAGTCTGTTATCAGGCACCGCACGTTTATAAGATACGAAAAAATATTGCGTAGATCAGTACCGAAATTATCCTTCTTTCCCATGGCAAGGAAGTATTTTTAAATGCAGCAAATGTCATGAGGTTGGCGCAACATTTGGCATTTAGCTTTTATACTCAAGTTTCTTCGTACAATCATTGTAAAGTGACGTACTGATGTGTACTGGACAATTACTATACTGAACATGCCATGCCATACCGGCGTATAATGGGTAGTCTTTATACTTCACACACCCTGGTATACTGGACAATCGTTACAGTTACAGGACAATCATTACAAAGTGTCATACGGTGGTATACCGTTTTCTGAATGGTTACTGTACCAACCAGGGTACCTTCCTGATGACCCAAGCTGCTGTCCGGGACATGCTGAGCGGAGGAGTGACGGAAGGAGTGGTGGTCAACATCGCCAGCTTAGCGGCCAAGACAGGCAGCCGAGGACTCTGCAGTTACGTCGCCTCCAAGGCCGGCATTGTCGGCCTGACAAAAACAGTGGCCCTGGATCTCGCCGACAAGGGAATTCGGTGCAACGTTGTGCTCCCGGGATTCACTGACACTCCAGTTACAAGGTTCTTGACCGAGCAGGAGAAGCAGGGAATTCTCGCCCAGATTCCACTCGCTCGCTCCGCCCTGCCGCGCGAGGTTGCTGAGGTGGTCGCTTTTCTCTGCTCGCCCGAGAGCTCTTACATGACTGGCGCTGCTGTTGATGTGTCTGGCGGCTGCGGATTGTAATTTTGGCTTCGGAAGCTGCAACAATTAATTGAATAAAAAATATATAAAGGCGTGCCTCATAATATTGTAACTTCGGTTGGGTTTTCGGTGCTGTTTTCTTGCAATGTACCTATTTTAAGTGACTTTTCGAAAGAAAAATTTTTCAAGACTCACAGCAGCAGCCTACATTTTAGTGGGAGACCTTAGATAGAAAATCAGAGCGAAACTGGATTTCTTGTTGGAAACCTGAATCCCTCTTTGGCACAGAGTCGTCTGCAAAATGAATTTCAGGTTTCCAGCAAGAAATCCAGTTACATTACCTGTTCCATAATTCAGTCAGCGAAAAGTTATACTGTTTTTTTTTCTCGGTAGCGCTCATATTGTGATTTCCGGGGGGCTCCTCTCAAGTTCTGGTTACCAGCTTCACTCCATTTATTTATTGTGTTAATACAGCCATGTCTTCGTAATACGGACGACTCTCTTCGAACGTTCTATGTAATGTGGGTTGTCCATATATAATAACGACTCAAGTTCAAGTTGGCATAAAAAGAAGCAACAAGCGTGGCTACAAGACACTTTTTCATTTGCATTAGAGTCTCAATTTGAGGCTACATGTTTCTTGCTTAAACTGCGCAGAAGACTGTACAATTAAGTTTTATGCTTCCACTTCATGCCGGACGAAGTTTTACATCCTTATAACTAATAAGTTGCGAGCCAAATTCCCTGCCTCTAGTTTCCTGCCCAAGTGACACGCATAACCTATGAATGCTTCTGAGTTTTGTTATATGCGGCCGTGGCGCGTAGACGGAAAGAAGGGCAATTGACTCCTATGGCCGTAAAAACCCTCAAATACCGAATCCTTGTTTTGGTCCGAGGTCTTATCTTTTTACACTAGTCAAGCGCACGCATAGATCATGGCAACAATGATGATGTCCGCCGCGCGAATTGAATGCGTCTCTTTATTTTTAGATGACGGCAACAGCGAGAGTACTCATCGCAAGCTTCGTCACTTAACGTCTTCACTACCGTAATTTTTTTTTTTTTTTTGCTTTTGTAAACCTTGTTTAGTGAACTTGTGTTCATAATAACGAGGCAAAATGGCATTTGTTTTCAGAGTTCGTATTATTAAAAGTTATAGCGCGATCGAAGGCAGAAAAACGTAAGAGCAAACACACAAAAAAAAATGCGATCAAAGACATAGACCGTGTTTGTATGCTTAATTATTACTCATTACACATACATCAAGTCGAAAATATCAATATTTACCAAAAATATAGAAAGCGCTTGCATAAAATTACACTGGTATAATTTTTATAAGTTTTCTCTCGGTACCTCTTGGTCAGGGGTCATTTTGACCGGATCCCGGTTTCTTAGAAGACCTTGTATGTGGACAAATCGATCCCCAAAACGTTCGTCGATATGGCGAGGTTTTTTTTTTTATTAATATAGCCTATATTAAAACAAACATGATTGTACTATCTTGAGTTATATTGCTCAAGATACGATGAGTGTTAATTATTTACCACGTCATTGGTACAAAGATTATTTATATTTCGTGTCTTTTGCATCCTCCATGTGATGCATCATTTTTTTTTAATATATGTTTCAACTGTAATAAAAAGTAGAAACGAATATTTTGCTTTAAAAAACAACCTATTTTAAGCTCGCCAGGACTGCACCGTGTGCATTTCTGACGAGTTACACCAACGGTACACCAACGGATATTATACGTGTGTCCGATCGAGATTGTGGTTTTTTCCTCGTTTGTTGGGCACATCATGCAACGCATCAAGTGTCAGTGCATATCACACCTATAGGGCAGTTAATAGCGTTGACGTTGTTTTATTGTATGTTACAATTAAAAAGGAACGTGTTGGTTAATAGATGCAAAACTTGAAAGTATTAAACAGAGAGGACGAGGACGGGAACAGGACATCTATTGAAAGATGTCCTGTTCCCGTCCTCGTCCTCTCTGTTTTATACTTTCAAGTTTTGTTTTATTAAATGCCACTTCGGTATTTTTATTCTTAATATATTACGTTCCGTTAACGTTTATTATATTTACTGACGTGGACCTGGCAGTTCCTTTTCACTGGCTATCATCGACAAGTCCGCTGCTGCTGAATTTAATCCGCAACGCATTCCTAACCTGCACTTAACGTACAGAGATTGTCGTGCATGACACCTGATAAGTAAGGGTTTTGCTCTGAGCACGTGCTGGGAACAATGAACTCAACTATCGCGTCCAGTGAAAAACAATTCCGCGCGCTTTCTTTATTGCGTCAGCTACATGAAATAAGCTTGGAATTCAAAGCGCGATTATTAAAGGAAAATATTCATTTGGGTATTTTGAATGCACATCTATCTCGTCTGCTCATATTTACATGCAACTCTTCGAAAATCTGCCCCGAAACGCCAAGAACATGTACGTATGCAGTTTGCATTGACCTGTTTTAGATACAAAATTAAATTCACGATGGTACGGTGGCATTAAAAGCCTCGCAACGGCAGCCATAACAAGCTAGAAGAATGATGTTTGCCATTATTCGGGTCACTCAGTTTATCTACAGCAGCCTGTAACCCTTCAAAGGTTTGTTTTGGGTGCAGAAATAGGAAGAACGGTTCACTTTCTACAAGTGTTAAAAAAAACAAAAGCACTGCGCTTGTAAATCAAGTCGCGTGGCATATACAGAGGGCAGAGGAGTGCAAGCGGTGTGGGGGAATTGAACGAACCTATACTGTAAAACCTTTTTTGTATTATAGCAGGATATATCCGTAAAATTTAGGTTAAAATAATGAAACTGTTTCGTTAGAATAAAAGACAGATAAGCTTATAAGTTGAAAACAGGACTTATGTTGTTCGTAAAGACAAGCGCTGGATTAAGAAATACGAACTATTCCCTCGGAAAATTTCAATAGTTCATATCTTCATAGCTGCTGTCCGAGACATGCTGGTCAGAGAGGTGCCTGACGGTGTAGTGGTCAACATCTCCAGCCTGGTCACCAAGAAGGGCTTAAAGGACGACGGTTACGTCGCTTCCAAGGCCGGCATTGTCGGCCTCAGCAAAACAGTAGCCTGGGATCTCGCCGACAAGGGAATTCGGTGCAACGCTTTAGTTCCTGGTCAAGCGCACAGTCCAGCACTAAAGTTGTTCGGAGGTTTAACAGAAGACCATAAACATAAAATGATCTCTCGGCTCTTGCTTGGACGACCCGCACAACACCGTGAGATCGCTAACGTGTTCGCTTTTTTATGTTCACAAGAGAGCTCGAGTATGGCAGGAACCGCGGTTAAAGTGGCTGGCGGCTGCTTTTTGTGATTTGAGTTTCGGAAGCTGCACCGTCTGATTTAAAAAAAAAAATACGACAAAAAGAGCAAATTTTATCGTTCATTTAAATAGGGTATTCTTTTAACACTTCCTTTGTTTGCCAGATATTTTAATAGTCTCAAGAAGAGCTTCCTGCGCGCCTCAATGTGGCGGCAGACGTCGCCCTTAAAAAAGTTTTCCTGGTAATTGTTTTAGAACATCATTCGCTGTTGCGTTGAGACATCTAAGAAGTTACTTTCAAATTATGCTTACCAGCTTCACTGCCTTTGTTTGTTATCTGGACAGTCTTTCGCGTGGTATCGCAGAACTTAGGTCTCGTAGTAAAGAAAAACAAATGAACAGGATGTAAATCAGTATGTTATTTTTCGGCAACATTTCGAAAACGCTGTCGGGCCCCTTCTTTGTCTAAAATAAATTTGCGGGGGGAGACCAGGAATCTTACTTTTAGATTTTCATATTCCTTCGATCATTTTTGCGGGGCACCAAGGACTTGCATGCATACACTTGATCGAATGTAGCGCTACACTCTTAAAAAAAAAAGGTGCGCAAAGGGACCAATCGCCATCTTTCATCCCCGCGACCCTAGCGCCCTCTATTCAGAAGCGGTAACTCGAGCAGTTCGTCCCGCGGGCATTTCGTTGCTCCCGCTGGAGTTGATCCCCTAACGAATACTTTAGTCCCCTCGCCAATAATGGCTGCCACAAGCCTTCGATGAAGTGGACGAAGCATCACTCGAGTAGCTATTCTGGAAAGAAGCCTTGGCAAAACAAGATTTTGGCCCCGGGATTTAGAAATTGTGACTACACGCGCATATTCGGTGATTGTTTCCGGCCGCGAAAAACATGAGAACGGAATCCGAGCGACGCGGAGGCGCCGGAGACGAGGCCAACGAGGCTACCTACTCTCCGACTGCCGCGCGCGCGCCCGAGTTTGAACTGGAGGTGACGGTTGACCCAGTTGACCTGTGGCGGTGCGGTGGAAGCCTCGTCGGATGCAGTCGGAGTGGCAACCGATTGGACGGTGAGTTTTGATTGCTTTGGCTACTTGTTGAGCAGCAGAAATGTTATAGTCATTTCAGAACGTACTTCATAAAGTCGCAGGGTTACCCTGTACGATAGGCGCTCGCTCTCTGACGCGGTCGGGCTCGTACTCGTCCATGTTAGCGTGCAAACGAGGCCTAGCACTTCAAAACTAGACCCGGCGGCAATCAGTTCATCACACAAACGATATAACACCGGCAGATGGTTTCGTCGACGCAGCAGCGTTTTAATGCCACTTAGGTTCATCGAAAAGTACCCGTGTTCGTTTCATCGACCAACCTTGCGACGCTTCATCGGAAGCGTCTTTCCGCACATATCGCCTCGGTCGGCGACCAAGGCGATGCGAGCTTGACGAAACCGTTGCGGTTCGCATGAGGCCAGGTGCGAGTTCGCGCCTCGAGAGTAAAGTTTCGCGCTTACGCTCTTAGGCGAAATGTATGGTCGTATCCGATATGCGTAAATAAATATGTTCTCGATCAATATTAAAGTGTCTCCGAGCGGAGCGAAGGGTTTCAGCGCGTGGTGCGGACGGTTTGAAAGCGGCGATCGCCAATTCATTTGTGGCGTATCAGAGTCGCCTGGGCAAGTCCGCTTTAGTTGAGGTAGGTTTGCGGCGAACGAAATTAAACCAATAATGCAATCCCCGTGGTGAACGAAACAAAACAAACTCGACGAAACGTTGTAGGAGCACGTATCGACGAAATTGAGCGG